CAGAGAAATCTGAGAATAGTAATAGCATGACAAAAAACAAAATTATTCTCCTTAACTCTGACCATAACTATCCAGGCTACTGAACCTGGTACTTGGGTCACCACTACCCATGCCTGCTACCAACTGCCATCAGTATGCCTGTCTTGCAGGGAAGACAAGGGTACCTTGTAAACCAAGAACCACACAAAGCTAAGATGATATTACCACTGATTTTTTTTTCTTTTACATGTAAGGACATCAATCCTCAGCTCTTCTCTGTCAACTATGAAGGATAATCCAAGAGATTCTGCCTTTTGCATTTTTGCTATACTGAATAATCAATTCATCAAATTTTTGTTCATTAATTTTCTGTCATGTGGATATTTTCATTAGAAGAGCATTTGTGGTCAGGCACCTGTGGCTCACGCCTGTATTCCTAGTGACTCAGGAGGCAGAGATCAGGAGGACTGTGGTTTGAAGCCAGCCCAGGCAAATAGTTTGTGAGACTCTATCTCAAAAAAAAAAAAAAAAAAAACAAACCACAAAAAAAGGGCTGATGGAGTGGCTCAAGCTGTAGACCCTGAGTTCAAACCCAGTACTGGGAAAAAAAAAAAAAAAGAGCATTTGTGATCGAAAGTCACTGAATCAAACTAAATACTTCTACCCTTATCTTTTATAAATTTTGAGTTATTTGGCATTTTTATTAATTCAAGTTGAATCTTTTTTTTTTTTCTGATGGTACCAGGGTTTGAACTTAGGGGTTCACACTTGCAAAGCAGGAGCTCTATCACTTGAGCCACACCTCCATTTTACTCTGGTTATTTTAGAGATGGAGTCTCAAGAACTATTTGCCCCAGATGATTTAGAACTATAATCCTCCCAATTTCAGCCTCCCAAGTAGCTAGGATTATAAGTGTGAGCCACCAGTGCCTGCTTGTATCTTCTTATTCACGCTTTTATATATGCTAGCAAATCATTTAATATAGAAAAGCCTGACTAATGAGGAACACAGGAGACTGGGCGTGAATCAAGTGGAAGAGTGCTTGCCTATGAGGTCTGTGTTCAATCTTCGGTACTAAAAAAAAAAAAAAAAAAAAAAGTACATAGGACAGCAAACAACGAACTGAATAAAGAAAGAAAAAAAGCATTTTTCCAAGAGAAGGCTATTTCAACAGAGGGACAGTTATTCTAAATCAGTAAAGTCCAACTCAAAGATTTTACTCTATTTTGTGGAAGTGTGACACACTCCAAAGGCAAGATGTTCAGAACTAAAAACAAATCCTTTCGTTTGTACAGAAAAGGTACTAGTAATCCAAATTAAACCATCATTTGTTAAAATAAACATATTAAGTAATATAGTAAATGTAAAAGCACCTGGAAGTTTTTGGTAAAACAAAATAAGGCAGGATTTAAATACAACCAATATTTGATATTAAAAAGTCCATGTTTATCCATATAACTATCACAGGACTATAATGCTTCATGAACTTATGCTCAAAAATTGAAAATGTAAAACAATGTTTTAAGCCCAGAGAACTTCTTCCAATAAAATAAACCCACTTTGACAAAGATAAATCTCGTTTCCATAACAATAAATCAACTTTGGGAGCTGGGGATATAGACCAGTAGTAGAGCATGTACTTAGCATGAGGAAGGCCCTAGGTTCCATCCCCAGCACTAGCCCCTCCCCCCAAAAAATAAATATCAACTCTGATATTGAGAACATTTTTCCATTGACAAAAATCCACTGAACTCAATTACCAAAATAGTCTAAGTTATTTCTCCAATTCCGATCTCCTTATCCTTTTAGTCAACTTTACAGAGCACATCAAATTGACTTTTCTACAAAAATATTTCAGTACAACCCCTCTTGCTCAACAAAACCTCAGCAAGGAATAAGGGAGGGTAGTTACAGACAGCAGCTCAGTGGCAGAGGCTAGTCTGGCATGCTAGAAGCACTGGGTTAGATCCAAAGCACTGCAAAATCAAAATAAAGAACAACCCTCAGTACTGCTACCCCAACCAGACACTCCAACCTGCTCAAATTCCTGAGCCTGGCTTAGTCAACCAAGGATACCCACAAATATGACTCCAATGTGCCTTTCCAGCTTCTTCCTCCCCAGTCCTCCCCTAGAGGAATTCTCCAGTTAAATCGTTTGACCCACTGACTTTAGAACACCTTGTGCTCTCATAACAAAATTATTTTCTTCTTAGAAAGTGAGCAAAATTTTCTAAACAGGTTTAAAACTTCGTAAGAAGAAACTATAGGCAAACTTAACTTACATACTTTATAGAGTAAGTGAACTTCAAGTTATTACATAAAAAGTGATTGAGATAAAAAGGTCTGGTAAGCAAATAAGTCTCTGAAGATTTTAATATACCCATATGACAATTCTTCCATTCAATTTTTAACTGATCTGACACAACAGACATGGTAATCCTGGACAGTTCCCAAATACTTAACTCCCTTGGTAACATTTCATGATTCACCATCAAGGCCCAGTCTATTTCTAAACTACAGAGGACAGTAAGTTCCCATTGCTTTCTACAGAAAAGTCCTTTCATTCCAGGGGGCAAAAAAATAGTTCTGTATTTTAGAGAAAAAATACCTTTCTTTTTTTTTGGGGGGGGGGTGGGAGAAGGGTTTCAACTCACCTTCATGCTTGCAAAGCAGGCACTCTTCCACTTGAATCACAACTCCAGTCCATTTTGCTGTGGTTATTTTGGAAGTGGGGTTTTGGGAACTATTTGCCCAGGCTTGCCTCAAACCTCGATCCTCCCAATCTCAGCCTCCCAAGTAGCTAGGATTACAGGTATGAACCACTTGCGCTCAGAAAAAATACCTTTCTTTTCATAACCACAAATAACACACTGGAAAATTTTGGCTGTTACCTACACATCTGTAAGCACAGCAGATACCCTCAACTTCAAACAAAACTATCCCCAAGAGTATCAAGATAACTTATTTAAATTACAACACAATAGAATAAAGATGGTTCCCCTAAATCCTAAACCCCTTTACTAAGACACTTTTTATGGCCACAGTGCCTGACATTTATGTAACAAAAATAGCAAAACTTATTTTAAATTTTTCAGAAGACAGAATTTATCAACTTTGTACCTATGATAAATCACTGACGACCACACCAAAAGGAGGATAAAGTAACACTGAGCTATCAGATCATCACTGCATAATACTTAAGAGTCCTTGAACTGAGAAATCAGCAGTTTCTTGAGTTGTGACAGGTATCTCATTAGCTGATGCACAGCAAAGGAAGAAGAAAAGAAAGGTAAAGATCCAAAAGACTACAGAAGGAGGAAGGGAAGAGGGGTTAAGGGAACAATTGGAGGTAAGAACAGAAGAAGAAAACCAAATATATAGGACAAGGAAGAATTAGAAGGAAGAATCAGTAATATGAGAGGTGTTGTTGAGGCTATGCCTGCCTCTAGATATGTGACCTAAAGGTAATACAGCACTGAGTCTAGCAACCTTCCAACAAGGAGTTGCCCAATAAGTCATTTTAAGACAATTCTAAGAAAAACACTCTTGAAAAACTTGTGGCTCATGGGATGAATTGATCTACAATCTAATTTTTCTGTTTTCAAACAGTATTTACTTTATTATACTTTATTTCAATCCTATAAATTGTAAATTTTCAGTCAGAATTTCAGCTCTAAACCTAAATTTAAATTAACATTTGACTTGCAATTCTCAAGCGAAGCAGCAGTACCAGTAGTGTTTTTTCTAAAGTAAAATAACTTCTAGTAATTTACAGTAACATTGTAGAGGAGAAACACTTAAAAAAAGATAAAACTTGTCAAAACATGGCTTAATCTGTGTTCCAAAGAAAGTTAATACAAGATACAGCAGATGAAGTCTGAAATAGGCATCTTGATTTCAAAAGACAGAGGACTAAAAGAATTGGTGAGGCAAGTGGTTCTGGAGTTAATGGAAATATAAAGTATTTCAAGAAGCTGGGCATGATGGTACATGCATATAACACCACCACTCAGGAGATGGAGGCAGCAGGATCTGGATAGGGTTAAAGGCTACCCTTGGCTACATAAACCCTGTCTCCCCTCCACCAAAAAAAAAAAAAAAAAAACCAAGAAGAGGAACTTAGTAAAATTCAAAGTTAAAAACTTAACGAATTGTTATGAAGGGCAGAAGTTACAAAAAAACTAAGATTTTTTTTTTTCTTTTGTTTGGTCTTTCCAAAACAGAAGAAGAACTCCCCCAACTGGTCAGGACACAGCCTCAGAAAGCTAGAACTCAGAGCTAGGAATGTTAGTGAGAGTTCTTTAAAGCTGTTTGAAGCTCTGAAACCTATATGGATTCCAATAGTCTTTCCATGGCATAAGGAAGTTTGTGTAAGCTTAGATTCTTTCTTTAGTCTTTTCTAATACTATTCCTTTGATTGGAGGGCTCAAGAACTAAACAATTATAGGTACTTAGGCCTTTTCCTTTTAAATTCAGAATATGTATTTTTATGGGACTGGGAGAATGATTCAGATGGTAGAGAACGTGAGTTCAATTCCCCAGTACTACCATTTTTTACATTTGCTCACCAGGAAAAGGCACACCTCAAAACTGATCCATACCATGAAGGTTTTATCAGAAAGTATCTATGTTATTAGTGTAGAATTTAGCCAGAATAATTTCTGAATCATTCTACCTTTAAATTGTGAGTCAGAGCTGTTAATGTCAGCAACAGTTCTTTGGAGTTTGGGGTTGTGTTTTCTCTTAACCATTTTCCTCCTACTTTCTAACCAACTTACACTGTCATTGTCCTTCTACCGCCATGCATTACTTTCCTCTGATATATGTACATGCATATACACGCAAAAAGATCATCAGTACCACTATGTGTACACACACATATAAAGACACACATGGCAAGAATCTCAATATCAGAGCATAAACCAAAGATGAAGACATAAGCTACACTGCCTAACAGGACTAAATCCACTTATTCTTATTTCTAAGATAAAACAAATTGTGATTGGTTACTACAGCTCACCAGATGGCTCTTCAGGCTCACTTTCATTTTCTTCCTCAGGTGGGGCTTGAGGGGGTGGTGGGGGAAGCTTCTTTTCCTTCTCTGCTTTGGCATTTCTCTCTTCTTCTGAATAATACTCATCTTCTGAGAGGTTGGCCAAGCTTTCATCCATCTCTCTGTATTCTACCTATGTGGAAATTACATCAGCAAAAGTTAAGTACAGTGAACCTCTAAAATCAGGGACCCTAGTTGGAACCATTAGTGAATATAAACTGCTTTCTAACTTCAAATTTTAAAGGAAATACACATGTAACAAGGAACAAACTTGCTTATAATAGGTAATTATTAAAAACTTAAAGTCCAATGAAACAATCTTGTGTCAATTCAGGCTTAGCATAATCTATATATTCAAAAATTCAAATTTTCTGAGGCTCTCTACAACTCCTACAAGTTTTTTTCCAGTGTGTATATATCATGCTCACATACTGGAAGTCCAACAAGACTAAAATAACTCACAGACAAAAACACAGTTAACTACAGCTGGGTATAGTGGTACACACCTGCAATTCCAGCACTCAGGAGGCAGAGGCAGGAAGAGCTCAAGTTCTAAGCCAGCCTGTGCTACAAAGAGAATTCAAGGCCAGTCTGAACTGTATAAGATAACCCTGTTTTGAAAAAACAAGGACAAAGGATGTAGCTCTAGTGGTAGAATGATTCCCTAGTATGTGCAAGGTCCTGGGGTTGATCTCAAGCATCACAAAAAGAAAAAAATAATATGTGTGTGTGTGTTTGTGTACCAAGCCTGTCTAAGGACAAGTCTGTGCTTTTAAAATAAAAAAAAAAAAGAAAAGAAAAAAAATTCAAGGAAGTACAACTCTCTAACACTACGGAGTCAATGAAAAGATGAAATAAATAAAATAACCAGATACGGAGAAAGAACAAAGACAACAGTTTCCACATACAACATATCTAATATATTAGATTCTAAATGAATAGTCCTATGGATTACAGAGAATATAATCTATTTTTAATTTTATTTATTTATTTATTAATTTTTGACCAGACTGGCCTCAAAAATCTCCCTGCCTTTGCCTCTTACCAAGTACTGGGAATACAAGCATGTGCCACCATGCCCAGCTTCTATCTTAATTTTCTAAATGCCTTTGAAACAGCGCTAGGTGGCTGCGTACTTTTTTTTCCCTCCCTTCTTTTTGTCTCTTTTTTCTTTTCCCCTCTTTAAATGACATGACCATAGGATTTGGGGGATGAGGGAACAGCTATGAAAGAGGTTTACTGAAAAATAAGATTGGGTTACAAAATGGAAATAAAAAAATCAAAGATAAGTTGACTAGTTATGATCTACACTGTAGGAACTTAATTCAACATATAAGTAATTGTATAGTATTCTTTTACTGAAATACTGAACACTGCACAATGGAAAAAATAATTATGAGTACATCCCCTACCTTTAATAAGCTAAAAACATGGTTGAAGAAAACCTGAAATGTAAATGATACTAAACTTTTTCTAACTGAGAAAAACTGTAGAAATACATCTCAGGACAATGGGTAGAAAAGAAAAAAAAGGAGAAAAAAAGACTTCAAAGAAAGATCAGAAAATGTAAAAAAGAAGCTTATAGTATGCAGTTTTCTTTCTTCTTTTACACCCCTCAAGAGTGTTTGACCCCTTTCTTCCCCTAAAGACTCTCTGCTTTGCTCTCCTGCCCACTGATCCTATCATTCAATAATCGCTTAAACAGTACCTAATAGGCAATGGATACATTTTAAGAAAATCCTCTTACTGCAATAATTCAGCTTTTCCCAAAAGTTGTTCCATTAGATACAAAGACCTTTGAAGAAAGAAGGGATCCAAGATCAAGTATGGAAAACTGTTCTTTTTAAACCCTCTCTAATAGAGTCACATTAAAGGTACTGAGAAAGTCTGTTTAATCCAATGTTTGACCAAGAAATAATTATTAAAAAGTAATATAACTGGAAAAGGCTCTTCTAGAGAGCTCTTAATCTTGCTGGGGACTTGGCTCCAATGTAGAACATTTGCCTAACAAACTCAAGGCCCTGGGTTCTATCCCTAATACCATTAAAAAAAAAAAAAAGTCTTAATCAGGAAAAAAAAAACAAACAAAAAAAAACCTACAGAACATTTAAAGGCACTACTTAAAAAAGAAAACACCACCATTCCACAGAGCCTAGGATTTTTCATGTAGTATTTTAATTTTTAAAGTATATTATTAAAACAAATAAATCTACACTCCTATGTGTTAAACTAAGCCTTAACTCTTTAAGAACACCAGCACCTTAACTTCCATTGCTCACGTAACTCAATTTTACATATCCCTGAAAATAAAGTTTCTTCTATCATTTATATTCAACTGTATGTCCTTAGATGGACAGTAAGGAAGATTTAAAAAGGATGCTGGGTGCTGGTGGCTCACACCTGTAATCCTAGCTTCTCAGGAAGATTGAGGTTCAAAGCCAGTCCAGGCAAATAGTTCGAGACCCTATTTAAAAACAAAAACAAAAACAAAAACTGCCACCACAAAACAGGGCTGGTGGAGTAGCTCAAGGTGTAGGCCCTAAGTTCAAGTAGCTCAAGGTGTAGGCCCTAAGTTCAAACCCCGTACCACAAAGAAAAAAAAAAAAAAAAAAAGAAGCAAATAAAATAAAAAACTTCTACACTACTTATCAATCAGTTCTGGATTGTATACTTCATAAATGAAACAAAAGCAGAAATAAAAATTTGATTCTAAGGTTGAAACAAGATTGCTTAATCTCCAATCTCAAATTTGGCTTTACCAATGGACTCATTTTCTCAGACTGACAACTAATATAAATAGTGTAAGTTTAAACTTCTTAATAAGAAACAGATAAATAGTATTTTGGGGATTTTGTGTTTTATAAAAAGGATTCCCCCAATTTAATAAAGCTTTAAAATCATCTATTCCCCTAAGAAGGGAGGAGGATAGAAAAGTCCTTGAACCCAATGGATTGGGACTCCTCATCCCCAAGTAAATCTTCAGACTTCCATGGTTCCACATCTTTACAGATGTTCCAAGAGGCAAATTATGAGTAGAGTAATTATTTTTACTTTTACTCTGATGACTCTCAAATTTTCATCTCTATAGTCTCTTCCTTATCTCCACATGTACTATAAAATGATTCACTCACTTTCCAATCACTAGCCTCCAGTCTTTTTTTTTTTTCCAATCTTTCTTCCTTTATAGTTCGTCTAGGGCACAAATGCTTATCAATTTTCCAGATATGTTATATTTTTGGATAGTTACAGTTGTGTGCCAAATTTTTTAAAATGGCTCTAAACTATCAAATTCATCATTTCAAACACACTAAACAAGAAGTCCTCAGGGCCAGGTGCTGATGACTCATGCCTATAATCCTAAACTACTTGAGAGACTCAAATCAAGAGGATGGCGGTTTAAGGTTCAGCTTGGGCAGAAAATTAGCAAGACCTTGTCTAAACCAACAGCTGGGTGTGGTGGCATGCATCTGTCCTCTCAAGCTACACAGGAGGCTGAGAGTGGGAGGATCACAGTTTCAGGCTAGCCCGGGCAAAAAAGTTTATGGGATCCCATCTTAACAGGGAAAAAAAGCTGGGTGTGGTGGGTGCACCTGTCATCCCAGTGATAGCTGGGAAGCCTAAAATAGAATTGCAGTCCAGGCCCACCTGCACAAAAAGTGAGATCCTATCTCCAGAATAACCAGAGCAAAAAGGGCGGAGGCATGGCTTGGGTTGGTAGAATGCCTGCCTAGCAAGCACAAAGCCCGGAGTTCAGACCTGGGTACTATTCTCTCCAGCCCCCTGCTCCCCCTGCCCAAAAAAAAACAACAGTCCTCAGGGTTGGGATGTATTTCAGAGATACAGCACTAGCATAGCATGAACAGGCCCTGGGTTCCATCCCAAGGGGATTAGGGATGGAAGCACTCAATGATGTTCTAACCACTCCTAAACTCCTTAACAGCTTCTCCCCATCTTTTTCTGCTAATTCAATGCCTAAAATCCAAGGCCCACTTCCTCTACAAATTATTTACTAATTATTCTAAACTTATAAATTCATCTTTTCCTTTATGGTCTATACTTCACAGCCTAGTTCAGTGTTGTCTGATAGAACTTTTCTGTGAAAAGGAAATGTTTTGTACCTGTATTTCCAATATTGAAGCCCCTGGTCACATCTGGCTACTGAGCACTTAAAATGTGACCAGTGAGACTGAAAAAACATTTTTAATTTTAACTTTAATAGCCACTTGTGGTCAGTGGCCATAGTATTGGATAGCATAAATCTAGCACACTCTACAATCTGAACATAACTCTATAACCTAAACTGATCCCTCCTACCTTGATCCTAGATAAAAGCCATCTCCAATTACATTTGTTTACCCATTGTTCCCAACACTCAGTTGTCCCTCTGAACTCCCTGCTGATTCTCAAACTACTGTGTACTATATTCTAAATATTTTTCACTTCCTTTTCTCCACTGGAAGTACTTAATTACTAATCACTTCCTACTATGCTAAACAGGCAATAATCATTTTGCTTACAAAACCTAACTACCTTACAAAGTAGCTTATTTGCTTGAAGAAAAAAAAACACAGAAAGATGAATTAACTCCAAAAGACCACCTTTTCAGCAGGAATTGCACACCTGCAATCCTAGTTACTCAGGAGGCAGAGATGGGGAGGCTCTCTGGGGTTGCAGTCATTAGCTACCATGTCCAGCTTTTTACTGGCTGAGATGGAGTCTTGGGAACTTTTCTGCCCAGGCTGGCCTCAAACTGCAATTCTCCAGCTCCTCAGGATCTCTGCCTCCCTAGTACCTAGGAATGCAGGGTTGAGTCACCAAGCCTAACCCTCAGTGTTCTTTTGAAAGTTTAAGAGCTAATCAAAATGGAAAAACAGCAAAGGGGAATTAAAATAAACACAAAATTACAAAGACAAAAATCTTACAGAATAGCCCGAACTCATCAACAGATTTAATACAATCCCAATCTGAATCCCAGCTTCCCTTTTTGCAGAAATTACTAAACTGACCCTATAATTCATATGGAAATGCAAAGGGCTGAGAACAACCAACATAATCTTAAAAAAGAACAAAACTGAAGAGCCTGCATTCCCTGATTTCAAAACATTTTATAAAGCTAGATTAATCAGAATAGTGTGGTATTGGCATAAAGACAGAAATACAGATAAGTGGGATAAAACTGAGAGTTCAGATACAGACCCTTACATTTATGGGCAGTCAACAAGGGTGTCAGCCATTCAATGGGAGAAAGAATAGTCTTTCAACAAATTGTGCTGGAACAACTGGATATTCACATGGGAAAGAATGAAGTTGAACCCCCTACCTCATACAATACACAAATAACTCCAAAAGGTTTATAAACCAAAATGGAGGGGCTATATAAAACCCCTTGAAGAAAACACAGAAGTAAATCATCATGTTATTGGATTAGGCGACATTTTTTTTAAACCAGTGGAGCAAAAAGAACAAAGGAAAAACAAATTGAACCACACCAAAATTAAAATCTTTTGTGACCAAAATAAAGAACTTGCTACAAAAGTTTTTAAAACCTCAAGTTTTTCTAAAACCCCAATTTTTTAAACTGAGGCAAAATTTTGAAGACACTTTACCAAAATAGATATAAATGGACAATAGGCACATGAAAAGATGCTGATCATTAGTCACCAGGGAAATGCATATCAAATCATAGTGAGATACCACTTCAGACCCAGTAGGATGGTCAGACAATACCAACTGTAGCCAAAGTCATGAAAAAATTAGAACCCTCATACACTGCTGGTGAAAATGTAAAAACTGTTCAGCTGCAACCATGGAAAAAAGTTTGACAGCAGTTCCTCAGAAAGACAAAATGGAATTACTGTATGACCCAGCAATTCCACTCCTAGGTATATACCATGAGAACTGAAAACATATTAGCCAAGCACAATAGCTCACACCTATAATTTTAGCTACTCACTAAGCTAAGTGAGAATTTCAGTTCGAAGCCAGGCCAGGCAAATAGTTCGAGAGACTCTACCTCAAAAATATCCAACACAAAAAAGGGCTGGCAAAGTGGCTGAAGGGATATAATGCCTGCCTAGCCAGCGCAAGGCCCTGAGTTCAAGCCCCAGTAGTGCCCACTCCCCAAAAAAACCAAAAAAACTGTACATTAATGTTCATAGCCACACTATGCATAACAGCCAAAAAGTGGAAACAACCAAAATGTCCATCAAATGAAAAGAGGTGGCATATCCATACAAGAGAATATTATTTAGTCAGAAGAGTTATAAAAACAGCTGGATATTGGTGGCTCACACCTGTAATTCTAGCTACTCCAGAGGCAGAGATCAGGAGGATTCCGGTTCAAAGTCAGCTGGGGGAAATAGTTCAAAAGACCCTATCTCAAAAAAAAAAAAAAAAAAAAAAACCCACCACATAAAAGGGCTAGCAGAGTGGCTCAAGTGGTAGAGCACCTGCCTAGCAGGTGTGAGGCCCTGAGTTCAAACCCCAGCAACTCCAAAAAGGAGAAAAAAAAATTAAAAAGAGTTGTAAGTAATGACTGGAAATACTATAATTGAACTTTGGAAACATACTAAAGCTAAATATGAATGGCCACATATTGTATGATTGCATACAAAATGCTCAGAATAGGCAAATTCATAGACTAGGGGCTGCCAGGGGCTGGATGCAGAGGGAATGGGAAATGACTGCTAATGATACAGGTGTCTCTGGGGGGCGCCAACAATACTGAAAAATTGATTGTAGTGCTGATTGTTCGTCCTTGTGAATATGTTAAAAATTAATGAATTGTACACTTTAAAATAGTGAATTATCTCAAATCTGTTTTTTTTTTTTCTGGCCACACCTTCTACTGAAATGGTAAAACAAAACCCTACTGGACTCCTGCCCTCTATTTCATTTCTGAGGGTTGAGGTCACTGACCTCTGGACTTTTCTAACCCATGCTTTGGTAAAGGTCTCCAAAAGCCTTTCCTCCAAGTTCATTTTACCAAGCACTGGGTATAATTTAGAGAGGTCTCTCAAGCAGGCAGTTCAAACAGGGTTCTCTACCTGAGTGGTACTCATCACAAGAAGCACCTCATCTCACCTGCACTTAAAAATGATACACAGGAGATGGCACAAACAGTGTATACACATGTAAGTAAATGTAAAAATGATAAAATAAGAGCAGAAAAAAAAATACACAACCGCCAGGGGCAGCAGTGTGCACTGTCATCCCAGCTACTCCAGAGGCTGAGGTGGGAGGATTGCTTGAGCCCAGGAGTTTTGAGACCAGCCTGGGCAACAACAGCAAGACCCCACATCAAAAACAAAATAAAACCACAGATAAGTTTTACAAGCATAAATGACATAAGCCACACAACTTTACTTAATATTTATAAAATATTTGTTATAAAACAAAATTTATTATAAAATAAATACATGTATTTATTTTGCGGGCTTCATACATACTAGGCCAACACTCCACCACTGTGCTACACCCTCAGTCTACTATGTCTTATACCCATATATACTTCCAGTTTTTTCAATCAGAATATGAAATTTCCAAAAAACGCCCAAGTCTGTGCCCTAACGCTGCTCCAGTGCCCTGAACACTGTTACCATCCGCTGTGGTCCTTTGTTTCAGGGGCCGATGATACCCTATCACAAGCATGGGGTTTCCATGTTTCTAACTTAACCTGCGTGACTTTAGGCAAGTTGCTTAAACTGTGGGCCTCAATCCTAAAACGGGGCTAAGGATAAGTGCCTGTGGGCGTTTAGCAAAAGAGACAAGTGGTGATACGCTGAACACAACACTGAGCAGAGAAATGAAGCAGGAATTGTCTGTAGTCCTGCTTGGTGTCAAACCTTTTTCTTTCCCATATGCTTGCAACTTAATTAACCGATATTAGTTTCCGCATAGGCTTCTCATCTATAGAAATCTACTCCCAAAGATCACAGGGAGAGTAAAAGCAAAAAGACACAAACTCCTGGCATACAGCAAACGCCTAATAGTAATTAACAGTAATAATAAATATGATGGTGATTAAGAATAAGTTCCCTTTTTTTTTTTCCCGCGATTTCTTTAGCATCAGCCAAGAAGCCATCATCCTGCTAAACAGTTTCCAGACTCATGGGAGGACAAACAAGAGGCGTCCCCAACAACGCCAGGCACGACTCCACCTCGGGAAGCCATTTTCCCAGCCAGAATATGAGGGGTGTCCAGGATGTCACGACAACAGCCTCTCACGTCCCCGATCTCCCCATGCCCACGTCTGCCGGTCCCCGCACAAAGGAGACCCTCCCCCTCCCCCGCCCCACCCGTCAGGCTGGAGGCCAGGCGGCCGCGCGTCCAGAGGGGAGGCCAGGGGGGACTCGAGGGAAGCGACACCCCGGGACGCGTCGCGGGGACAGGGGTCGAGCCTCACCTTCGCCCGCTTGCGCCGGCTAGTCCGCCGCCCCTCCGGAGTCTCTGCTATTCCTGTCTCCATGGGGGTCGCAGAACCGGGCACGGCCGTGGGCCCGGCCTGAGGCCCGGCGGACCCCGGCGGTTCGCCCAGGCCCCCGGGAGGCGAGGCCCGAGGAGGCTCCTTCTTGCGCGGAGTGCGCTCCCCGGCCGCCCCCGGTCCGACCTCGGTGGGGCCCGCCAGGCCCGCGGGCGGAGCGGCTACCTCCGAGCCATTCTCGGCGCCGCCCGCCACCCCTGGGCCAGCATCCGTCCCGCCGCGGCCGCCGCCGCCGCCGCCGCGGCCGCCGCCTTCTTCCCGGACAACATCTCAGGCCGCCTGGCCGCCGACGGCCGCAGGGGCCGCTCGGTCTGCCGCTCCGTGGGTCCCGAGCCGCAGCGCCTTGCCTCGTTTCGCCTCGCCTCTCACCACCCGCGCGAAGCCAGCCGCCGCCGTCGCGTACGCACGCGCTGTGCGCGCTCTCGCAGCGTCGGGACAAAAAGGACCCAGCTGCCCACGGGCCCCGCCTCCCTGATGCCATAGAGCGGCGTCCTGGCGGCTAGAGCGGAGGCGTGAGCCCGAGAGCGATGTCGGCCTAGAGCGCCCCCTGGGTGTCGGAGTGGGACTCAGCACCGAGTGTGAGCTTGGGGCATCATTCATTCATTCATATGTATTAGTGCTTACTATGTGGCAGGGTTGAATTATGAAGTTCTTGCTTTCAAAGAGTTTACAGTCTAATACGTGAAAAACACACTTAAATATGACTCATTTGTTTGTAATTGTCCTTAGAAAACTTGAAGAAGCACTTGAGTTTCACTGGTAATAAATGGAGCGAAGTGAGGAAATCCAGGTTTGAGTCCAAATGAAATTGCTCTTGCCACCAAGCCCTTGTTCATGGTCTTCCTTCTGTCTGGAGTTCTCCCCATTCGCACCCCCTCGCTCGCACTTTCCCACTCTACCCCTCCCTTCCTCCCAAAAAATACCTGTTCGATTCTAAGTCAACTCTTTCTAATGATGATGTGGTAGGAGATTTATTTGTTTAATTCTTCCAGGAATCCCTCATGGACCCAACATTGGAACAGGTCTTGTGTTCCTCCAATTTATTTCCAATTACTACACAGATCTAAACTTGCCCTTTTAATTGTCTATCTTTTCAAAGTATAGTTTTGAAAAAACCTTTCTAACTATGTGAAATTCAAGAACTGGCAACGTTACTCTATAACGATAAAATTCGCCTGATCAACTGGGATAAGGGTGGGGTTGACTGCAAAAGAGTAGGAGGGAACTTGCTGAAGGAAAAGTGTTATGTCTTGATTGAAGTGATGGTTACGGGGTGTAAATATTCACTAAAACTCATTGAACTATATGTGTAAAATGGGCACATTTGTCTTATGTAAACTGCACTTCAATGAAGTTGGATAGGAAGGAAGGAAGGAAAGACAGAAAGCAAGCAAGCAAACAAGCAAGCAAGCCAGGTGTGGTAGTATACTTCTGTAATTCTAGCTACTCTGTGGCTGGGGCAGGAGGATTGCAAGGACAAGCAAAGTTGAAATCCTGTCTTAAAAACAAAATACAAACCAAAGGACTGGAGACCTGGCTTAAGTTGTAGAGCACTTGTGGGTAGCCCTAAATTAAATCCCTGGAACCACAAGAACAAGAAGAACAAGGAAAAAAAATAAAACTAAACAGGAAAGAGGCAACTAAGTCCAGGAAAAAGAAAAAAGCTACAGAAGAAAGAAAATGCAAACACAGCACAGCATATTGACATGGCCATAATAAACATAATACTGTTTTAAGCAAAGTAATAGAAATGTATTGAGAGAATGGAGAAAAGCGAGATGAGAGGGAATTAGGGGAGGGTTGGTGAGGTGGAGATGGAGGTGCTGTGTGGGAGCTAAGCCTCCTGTCCCATCATAAGAATACAAAATGTCAAAATAGAGAAATCAAGAAACAGTACAAGCATACTATTAAACACCCTCACTCTCCCTTCCCTCCAGTTCCTGGCAGCCACCATTCCATTTTTTGCCTCTATGAATTTGCCTACTCTACGTATCTCATGTAAGGGGAATCACATTTGTCTTTTTTGTAGCTGGCATATTTCACTTAGAACAATATCTTCAAGTTTTAAGAGGTTATGACTTCCTTTCTATTTAAGGCTGAATAATATTCTGTATATATCACATTTTATTTACCCATTGATCAGTTGATGCACACGAGTTTCTTTGACCTTTTGGCTGTTGTAGTGGATATTGCTGCTGTGAACACAATATATTAATAACTCTTAAAGATCCTGCTGTCAATTATTTTGGCTAAACCCAGAAGTGGAATTGGTTCTTGGTGGAAGCAACTTTTTAAAAGTTAACATCTCACTTTACAGAGGAGAGCCCCTAATGGCTATTAAATAGTAAGTCAAACAAAATTACCTTTCCCTATAGCTTCAGGCAGGCTTGTTAGGTGACTGTGAAAGTGCTCCCAATAATCTTACTGTCTTATTTCCAAGTTTGGATAATGTTTTCTTTTTAGTCTCTCCCACTATAAGTGTAGTTACCAGTATCATTGGCCACTTTGCTCCCAGGAGTTAGGCCCAGAAGTGATGTTGAGTGAGTGCTAAGGCCCACATCACCTGGCTGTTATGAGGACATCATGGGATGATGCTTGCAAGCTCCCAGCTGGAGCTGGTCCTTAAGACACAGGAGTAGTTCATGTTATTGTTACACGGCTGAGGGAGGGAGCTGGCTGTGACTCAGAGGAGTGGATGGCCATGACTTCTGTCATGGAGGGGCCTGAGACAGGGTCGTGGGGCCTGTGTGCTTCTGTACCACCATGTTGGGGGAACTAATTTTTCTTTTTCGGAGTTTCCATGGGATTCTTGCTTCCTCAGGCACCCTAGGAGCAGCGGTGGCTTGGCTGATTGGCTATAAACCAGCCTTATTTGGGTTTCTATTCCTTTTGTTGTTGCTTAGCAACTGGCTGGTCAAACATGAACTCAAGCTTGAGCCCTCTGAGTCCCAGCAGGTGAGCAAGAGGGGGCTTAGCTTCAGCTGAGAGTTATAGGATATTCATAGCTAGTCTGGGCATGGGTGTTGCTAAGAAGGCATCAGGATAATGGGGCAAGATAGAGAAATCCAGGACTCTGGTCTAAGTCCCAGCTCTTGGCTTCCTCTTAGGTGATGGTGGGCAAATCACTTCCTTTCACAAGGTCTCAAGTGAGGTCTCAGCTATAAAATAGTGACATCCTATTACCAGATTTGGGTCACCAAGTCCAGAGGCCAGAATGTTCTTGGTCTCATTAGAGAAAGAATTCAAGGACAGACACCAAAGGAGACTTAAGCAGGAACAGGTTTATTAATGCAAAGCAAAGTGTCCCCTCCAGACAGGAAAGTGAGCAGACAAGAGGGAGTGCTATGCTGGGGTCCCAAGTCCTCAAAATTTTATTGGGATCTGTGGACATGGGTGTGGTCAGTCTTGGAAAACTGAGTTAATGTGTCATTAACTTCCAGAGACTGGGTTATGTCTTATCAATTCCTCCTCCAGGCCAGGTGGGAGAGTTCCTAACCTTGGATGGTCAAACTGGGGCTGTCACTTTTTTGGTTGACTATGGGCGCCTTTAGGTCAGTAAGACCCTGTTATATGTCAGGAGTCATTCCTAACTCCCTGCCTAGCTCCTATATCTATCTCCCCATCAAGAAATGTGAGTCCTTCTATTCTTATAAGGGAGAAAGACTTTAGATATTTCTTTAGAAACTAATTTCTGCTGAACAAGAGCATTGGCCCTTCTCCTTCCTATTAGGCAGTGATGGCTAAGGCAGGTGATGGAATAGAATGATGTGGTGGCCTGCGTTACAGGTCCCACTTGTTGATGCTCATTCTGTGCTGTTGACTGAGAGCCCTGGCATACCATCATTTCTAGGTAAAACTTTTGAAATCCAACAGTTGAATGGTTGCCTCTGTGGTCACCTATTGCAAGAAGAGAGTCCCCTGAGCTGTAGCTGATAGCAGCAGTAATCTTGTAGGGATCAAACTCCCATTTCTGCTCCTTCAGGTGTACATGAAGATCTTCCAGATGTTTTTTGAAGTCAAGATCCCAAGCCATCATCCCATGGCAAATGGTGGGACTGTGTAGGTAGCCTTGGGGAATGCTCTGAAGGTCCATTGTGGTTCATTCCAGGTGAATGTAAATAGGTCCTGGGACTCAGCAGCTAAAAGAACACTGAGGAAAGATCCAAAACAGTGTGATAAGACACCATTTAACATGGCAATGGCAGTGGCTTCCCACTGGAGCCTATGTCTTTTTAGCCACAGGTTTTTGTCCTATGTTAGAGTACCAAACATGGGTCCTTTCCCATGGAGTAAGCCCACCCAAGATTCAATTGGAATGTGCCACGTTGCACCGTGGGGCACATCCTGCAGGGCATACTGGTAGTGTAACACCAGGGCCCATCGCTGAACAGGACCACTGGTGACAATGTTCCCTGGCAGCTTGCATGGTGCCCTTTGGCACTGTGAACACTAGCCAGTAAGGACAAGCTTCTTCTTTGGTCCCAGCTTGATTTCTTGGTGTCCTGTAATTACAGCATGTGGTGTCTTCAGCAATAGGGCCTTGCTGTCCAGTTCTGGGTTGTAATCAGTTGCCAAGCAATTGCCTGTATGGTGTGGAGAGGACTTGGGGGCCTTCCTGGCCAACAACTTACAAGGAGGTAGCCCACCCCTGGCACTGGCATTTTCATTTAACAACCTTATGGCTTTTGGAAGCATTCTTTTTACCCACATAGGGTGCTTTAAATTCTTTAACTGTTGTTTTAACAACATGTGTCATGATTTTTTAGTCAGTTTTCTTTGTGGGGGGATTGGTTTTTAAATTAGCATAAATTAATTGTATAAAGGGGTTTCATTGTGATATTTCTATAACTGCATATAATGTTCTTGGATCAAATCCATCCCTTCCATTACCCTTTCTCTTCTATTATTATTGCTTTATTTATGATTCATTAATAGTACAGGAGGTTCATGGGAAAATTCCATATGTGAACACAGTGTATTTTGAGCAAGTTCACCACCTCTATTTGTATTCCCTTAGTCCCTCCCTCATCTCTTCCCCACAATGTTTGGTGGGATTTTTGTTTTTGTTTTTGTTTTTTTTGTTTGTAATACTCAGGTTTGAACTCTGGGCTTCATGCTTTCTAAGCAGGCACTCTACTGCTTGAGCCAGACCTCCATTCTGTGGTGGGTTTCTTTATGCTATCTACATACAAAAATGAGTAACACACTTTGGTGCTCTTCATCCCCCAGATGTTTTAACACTTCTTTTTTTTCAGTACTGGAGTTTGAACTCAGGGCCTATACCACTCAAGCCACACCCCCAGCCCTTCATTACCCTTTCTTAACCCCCCTTAGTCAGTGTTTTGGTAGTAGCTGTGATTTTTTTTTATATGATCCTGGCATATAATACTTGCTTGGTATTAATTACCCTGTGTAGGGCAGGCATTTTTATTGGTTTTTATTTCATCGTCTTTACATTTTGCACCCTTAGGCAGAATTCTCCACTTATGGGATGTGCCCCAGAAGTGCACCCACCCAGGGGGAGATACAAGAGTAGTATTAAACCTTAGGCTCCATTTAGAGGTCAGATCTCTCCATCATCCAATTTATATTGAGGCCACTTGGTATTGCAGGAGATTAATTTGGCTTTCCTTAATCCCTCTTTTTAAAAATCCCAATTCCTTAGTGCTAACAGTATTACCTATGTTGTTTAGCCTGGAGAAAAGGAAGAAGAAAAGAACAGAAGTAAAAAGGTAAGCATAGCTGCTCTTATTCTCTGGAACTCCCTGTGCTGGAGAGCTCCCTGACTGCTACCCCTTGACCAGGGAACATTACATTTTAGAGTGTGTTCAGTAACATGACTACAATCCCTCCCTCTCAGAATGGTGCCTTGGTCCCATTTCTGGAATCATCTGGAACTCTAGGTGCTAGGAGTCCAGCAACTAAACATGTGGAGACCAGCAGCCAGGACTGAGAGAGAGAGCAGGACCTCAATTTATGACAAGTAGTGGCCTCTTTGGAGATGTAAACAGAGATCTTTAAGAGTTCATCTCTGGGAGGAGCAGAAGGATTCTTTCCTTCAATTTTAGAATGAATTGAATTCTAAGTTAATTATTATTAAATAAAATTTGATAATTTCCCTGAGCCAGTTGCCGGTGGCTCATGCCTGTCATCCTAGCTATTTGAGAAACTGAGATCAGGAGCATTGTAGTTCCAGGCCATTTCCCTGGGTTTTATAAACTTTCTTTTTCTCCCCCATCCCCCTCCCCCTTTTTTGGCAATACTGGAGTTTGAACTCAGGGGTGCTTGATCATTTGAGCCACACCACCAACCCTTTTTTTATTAGCTAATTTTTGTTTTTTGGGTTTTTTTTTTTTTTGGCAGTACTGGGGTTTGAACTCAGGGCCTCACACTTGCTAGGCTCTACCACCTGAGCCACTCTGCCAGCACTGTTTTGTGTTGGGTTTTTTCAAGATAGGGTCTAGTGAACTACTTGGCTTTAGACCTTGATCCTCTGATCTGGCTCCTGAGTAGCTAGGATTACAAGTGTGAGTCACCAGTGCCCAGCACATTAGTTGTTTTTTTGACTAAGGTTCACATTTAGGCCCAGGCAGGCCTGGACAGTAATCCTCCTATTTATGCTTCCTGTGTAGCCAGAATGGCCGGCATGAGCCAGCATACAGTGTGCATTGATTGAGATGGGATTTTGCTAATTTTTTGACTGGGCTGGTCTGCAGCTGCAACTCTCCCGACCTCCACCTCCTCAGTAGCCAGGATTACAAATGTGAGCCATCAATTTCAATCTTAGATAATTTTTTTTAAAGAGTTAATTTAGGGAGCCTGGTAAGCATTTATTCTCTTGAAATAGGTGGTAGCCAACTGCCTTAGCTAAGGTGGTGAGGACTGAATAAAAGCATAACTCTGGGCTGGAGATGTGGCTCAAAGGCAGCATGCCTGCCTAGCAAGCACAAGGCCCTAAGTTTCAATCCTAGTACCAAGGAAAAAAGAAAAAAGCATAACCCTTCAAGGGTTAATTTTAAGGGGTATGGTGTTCCCCCCAACATTTAATTTTCTCAAATAGAGTAAGAGCTCTGTTTATTGTCATCATTGTTACCCAAAGTAGTTTCTTTTCATTTCTCTAATTTACAAGGGATGTTTAGGGGTTCCCCTTCTGGTAAGAGCCTCTGCTCCCGGTGCAGGGAGAGGAAGGGCCACCATCCATGTGACATGCACTGCTTTGTCTCCATGGTAAGCTGCAGTTCTGTCTTTAGAGCCTTCCATACACTTCTCAGAATGGCATTGACCTTCCTATCAATCACATCTCCTTATAAATGCTGCATGATCCTTCTGTGACTTGCTTTTAGCTTCCTGGTTTTGTCCTTAGTTGCTTATTTCTGTTTCAGAACAATTCTTTACTTTAGGACAAAAGCTTATTTCACCACACAAAATGGTTTGTATTAAAAAAATGTCCTCTTACTGTATAACTTTCTTACATCTCTTCACCCCTACCATATTCTGTTAATTGTATCTCAGCATAAACCCAAATATAATCTTCCTATAGCAGGCTTCTACCCTCCTGGTTTTGCCTTTATCTATTCTAACTGACACCTGTTTTTCCCTTTCTCTACCTCTCCCCAGGCTGGAGAGCCCAAGGTTAACATTTTTTTTTTTTTTTTTTTTTTTTTTTGGTCCTGCTGGGATTTGAATTCAGGGCTTGCACTTCCTAGTCAGGGCTCCACCACTTGAGCCACATTCTCAGTCTCTATTTTAATTTTCAAGCAATCTTTTGCTTTAAGATAAAATGTTATTTTTTAAACATTTTTAACATACAAAATTCTTTCTTGCCCCAAAAGGCTCTCTTTTTATAACTTTCTTTACATTGCCTACTTATTGGTTTATTTTTACCTTTTTTTTTATCAACTCAAACTGTATTCATAACAGAATAAAATAAATTTAGATTACCTGTCACATATAGCTGTAGGTCTTATGCAGGCCTTACTGCTGTTTGGATTTTTAAAAAGACCCTTTGACCTATTTTTTTTTTCCCCCTTTGGTGTTAGTTGAGTCTAAGAGTCTAAGAGTTACAGAATGTTACATTTCAGTTAGGTTAAGATAATAGAACTCCCAAACAACCTTGAACAGCAAAACTGTCTTAGTACAAGCAAGAAGGCAAAAGGGAGACAAAATACAAAAAGAGCCCCAAGTCTTCATATGTTACCCCATAATTGCAGTTTAGGATATAATTATTTGGGCTTCCCAGATACATGAGAGGAGAAGTGAACCTCCCCTGCTTAGCCTTCCCTCAATCCCCAAAATAGTGTAGGTTTTATAAAATAAGGACCCAGGATGAGAGAGTAAAACTGAAAAGGCCAACACCCCATATCAGTAAGGAATCAGAGTGAATCAAAAGAGAGTGAAGTCACCTGCTCTAGAGTTGAGTTCTCCTTAACCATACTGTCTTGGTTGCTAAAATATGCCACTGGATTTAGGTCATGGGGTCAGAAAGTTCTTGGTTTCATCAGAGAAAGAATTCAAGTGTGGACACAGAGGTGATTTAAGCAGGCATAGGTTTATTAATGCAAAGCAAAGCAGAAGCAGAGAAGTGCCCCCTCCCAATGGGAGGAGGGGAGACAAGAGGGAGCACTGCACTGGGGTCCCCTAACCTCAAGGTTTTATTGGGGTCTTCAGAGGTGATTGTGATCAGACCTGGAAAACTGGGTTAGTATGAATTTAACTTCCAGGGACAGGGTTATGTTATCAACTCCTCCCACATGTTAAGTGGGGAACTTCATGCCCTTGGATACTCAGACCAGGGCTGTCATTTTTTGTGGGCTGGGGCTTTTGATCAGCAAGACACTGTCATATGTCATGAATCATTTCATCATCATTTCACATCAGCAGTCAGGGTGTGATTCCTTATGAATATCCATGTCCTAGCTCCCAGCCATCAAGTTTTATTCCCAGACTCTCCTACTTCAGCTTTGACTTCTACATGTTTCAGCAACAAGCAACAGTATCAACTTCAACTTCTTAAGTGAAAAAAATTAAAATGGATGAATTGGATACAAGTATCAACGTAGTTATAACTCTCCAAGACAACAATTAACATAGTAGAGATGTACATAGGTTGTGACATTGTGTTAGTCAGCTTTCTGTTACTGTAACAAATGCCTGAAACAATCAATTTACAAAGAGAAAAGGGTTATTTTGGTTCACAGTTTGGGAGGTTCCAGTCCATGACTGGGTAGACCCATTGCTTTTAAGCCTCTGGGGAGGGCAGCACATCATTTTATGGGGGAGCAAAATCACTTCATGTCTAGGAAGTGGAAAAGAGCTTTTTTAAAAAAAGCTAGGGGTCCCTCAATGACCCACATACCATCTCTAGGCTCTACTTCTTAAGGTTCCCTCACTTACCAGGAGCTGAGAACCAAGCCTTTAACTCATGGTCTTTAGAGCCACTTTCCAGATCCAAGGTAAAGCTTATTTTTTTTTTTTTTGCAATATTGGGGTTTGAGCTCAGGGCCTCACGCTTGCTAGGTAGGCACTCTTACCGCTTGAGCCACTCCACCAGCCCTTATTTGTGATGGGTATTTTCAGGACAGGGTCTCATGAACTATTTGCCTGGGGCTGGCTTTGAACGGTGATCCTCCTGATGTCTGCCTCCTGAGTAGCTAGGATTACAGGCGTGAGCCACCAGCGGCACCTGGCTAAGAAGATATCTTTTATATAATGTTTTCAAACATGTAAAACCTGTATTGTTGGTGGATACTTATGTGCAATGAAAATATTGAAGGCAAGATGTTGCAATCTTGGCACTGTTCTGGGCATGATAATTTGCTGTAGGGGTTGCCCCACACCATGGTTAGAGGCCCAGCAGTGTCCCTGTCCTCTGTACAGGAGAGGCCAGTGTCACCCCCACCCCATTTGTGACAACCAGGCTGCTCAATGTCACCCAGCGAGGGCAAAATGGCCTTCCACAAAACACTGCATGGAAAAAATAAAGACTGAATTCAGGAGTGCAAGTGAGGAGATGATGTTCGAGGGGTGGGTGAGGGAGGATGAGGAGACAGGGAGTCAAGGTCCACAAAGGACTCAATTATATTTGTAACATTTTATTTCTTAAACTGATGTGACATGAGAATTTGTGATAGTACTTACTTTTTTGCACCTCTGAAATATTTAGTTTGAAGATAATTTGAAAGACCAGTAGTTTGGAGACAAATCTAAAAAGAAAAATCTAGGGTCATTATTAGCTTGGGGGAGGGGCAGATGAAGATTAACAAAAATTACAGAGTACGAGCACGTCGTGAGACCCTGGAGACTGCAATCTGAAGTCCAACTGGGCCTGACAAAGTGCTTAGAAAGAAACCTTGGAAAAACGAAGGTTTGGAGACAGATTTTTTTTTTTTTTTTAGGTGGTACTGGGGCTTGAACTCAGTGCCTTCACCTTAAGCCACTCAACTAGCCCTCTTTTTTTTTTTTTTTTTTTTTTAATGAGGGTTTTTTGAGATAGGGTCTCACAAACTATTTGCCTGGGCTGGCTTCAAACTGCGATCCTCCTGATTTCTGCCTCCTGAGCAGCTGGGATTACAGGCGTGAGCCAGTGCCTGGCATGGAGACAGATATTTTGATAAAGGCCCTTATGTCTTTTGCAACTGGTCAGTTATTCCTTTGAACCAAACACAAGCATGAGTCTTGGGAGTTGGAGGGCTCTGTGATGATGAGAAAATGACTGCCCTCTGTGGGCACTACTAATTGTCTCACCCATGAACTGTGGTGAAGAGGCTCCCCTTGGAGGTGGGTGTGAGAATTAAGAAAATGGCAGGGTTGCCGGGCACTGGTGGCTCACACCTGTTGTAAACTTAGCTACTTAGGAGGCTGAGATCGGGAGGATTGCAATTCAAGGCCAGCCTAGTCAAATCACTTGTAAGACCCTCATCTCCAAATTAACCAGAGCAAAATGGACTGAAAGTGTGGCTCAAGTAGTAGAGTGCCTGCTTTGCAAACATGAAGCCCTGAGTTCAAACCACAGCCTTACAAAAAAGAAAAGAAAAGAAAAAGAAAATGTCATGGAGCTGAGTGTGGTGATGCATACCTGTAATTCTAGCACTCAGGAGGCTGAGGCAGGAGGACTGAGAGTTCCAGGCCAGCCTGGGCTGCATAGTGAGACCCTGTCTAAATAAGTAGATTGATGGATTAATTAATTAATTATGGCATGGAGTAGGTGTTCCATGCAGGAAGGGATTGCTGTCATTGACCAATACTTCTCTTTTCCTGGTGGTGGAGGAGGATGAGAAACTGAAGACTTGTGAAGTCAGCCCCAACCACAAAGTCATGGGCATGAAAGATACCGAGAGGATTCAGGCCTGCTTCGCCCTCCAGGACAAGGTCCTTGAGCGACTGCTGTTCAGTGAAATGAAGCTACAGGTCTTGGAAAATCAGATGTTCCTCATGTGGAATAAAATGAATCACCCCAGGTGGTCCAGCAGACATTGGAACTGCCTCCGGAGGAAGCGCAAAATGAGGAGGCCTGAGTCAATTTTCTCCACCATCTCTGATTGTACTTCCAATGCCCCCACCGAATGAGACTGAGATGGGCTGGCCTGTGCTGATGTTATCCAGACTTAGTGTATTAGTGTGACTTCTTGTTGTTGCTATAACAAAATACCTGAGACTGGAACTTTATTAAGCAAAGCAGTTTCTTTAGTGCAAAGTTCTGAGGCCCAAGAGTATAATGCCAGCAGGGGCCTCACAGTAGATAGCATCACATAGTGGGAGGCAGAAAGAGAGGGACAGGAAGAGAGAGAGAGAGAGAGAGAGAGAGAGAGAGAGAGAGAGAGAGAGAGAGAAGAGAGATCACATAGGGAGAGAAGAAAGAGAGCCATGAAAACCAAACTTGCTTGATCTCAGCCTTCTCTCAAGGTTACCAATTCAGTCCCAAGACACCTACCTGAGGTGGGCACTAATCCCTTTGGAGGGCACTAACCTCAATTAACTCATCATCTCCCACCAGGCTGGCCGCGTAAAGGTTCCGTGATGTCTCAGTGTCATTGCACTGGGGACCAAGTCTACAGCACATGTTCCTTTGGTGGAGACATCATATCCAATGTTCTCCAAACCTCACCCTGAGAGGGACCTAGGGGCTAGGAGGACTAGAGGACAAAGGTCATCCCTGGGTTATAAACCCTCTATAGAGGTAAAATGAAATAGCTCTGGAACTCCTTTTTCTCTCAGTTGGGCCCCCTCTTCCCTGGCCCAGGGTGCTATGACTGCTCCCCTGAGTCTCCCCAGTCCTGTCTCAGGCCCCACCTCCCCTCTCCCCTTGCACTCAGAGGTCAGAGTGAACCCAGCCAAGCACAGCTCTGACCATGTTCCTTGCCTACTTCTGAGTCAGCATCTTACCCTCAAAGCTGACAGAATAAAACCCTCCTTCCTTCCTGTGATGTTCAGGCCTTCCAGTCTTTACACCCCTCCCCTATGCCTTAAATTCTGTGTCAGAGGATGCTAAACTCTGTCACTTCGATGATAGCCATGAATCTCCCGAGTATGCAGCTCAATATTGTTCCTTTAAATCAACTATTTTTCTTAAATGCACTCATAAAGGAAAATAAAGAAATTATCAGCAAATTAAAAAAAAACAGTATCATTGGCTTAAATAGGACACAACTATAAAAGTAAAGAGTGTGGAAGTACACACCTATAATCCCAGCTACTCAGGAGGTGGAGGCAGGAAAACTGAGTTTGAGGCCAGCCTGGGCAAAGGTAGTGGTGAGATCCCCTCTCTAAAACAAAAGACAAATGTAAAGGGCGGGGCATGTAGTTCATTGGTATCGAGCTTACCTCATATACTCAAGGTCCTGGGTTCCATCCCCAGCATGGCAAAAAAAACACCCCATAATTATATATGTTAGGTTCTAACTAGAGCTTGGCTGCCCACTGGAGTTTCTCAGAGCCTATGGATTTTGGGTTAAAAAGTGAGATTATGCCAGGGGCTTGTTGCTCACACCTGTAATCCTAGCTGCTCAGGAGGAAAAAATCAGGAGGATTGCGATTGGAAGCTAGCCTGGGGAAATAGTTTGCAAGACCCTATCTTGAAAAAAAAAATCACAAAAATAAGGCTGGTGGAGTGGCTCTGAGCTCAAGCCCCAGGACAACAATAAATAAATAAATAGAATACACTATTGCGGATTGTTGTTTTATGTGTGCTGACATTTCTTCTGCTCTCTTATTCTTGGATGATTATCCTATGTCCTATTTTGTTTAAGGGCAAAATCTCTGGGGCTAAATTGCCTGTGTTTAAGTCCCAACTGTATAGTTGGACAAGGTGGCTCATGCCTGTAGCCCCAGCTACTTGGGAAGCTGAGGTAGGAGGGTCACTTGAGCCCATGAGTTCAAGACCAGCCTAGACAACATAGTGAGACCCTGTCTCCAAAAAATAAACAAAATAAAAATCCAATCCCAACTCTATCAACTGTCAGCTGTGTGATCTTGTACAATTCTACCTTGTTCGTTCCTGCCTCTCCTCTGTTCCCTCAACTGTGAAACGAGGAGAGTAAGACTTATGGAGTTGTCATGATAACTGGGGTCTTAGTCTATTTGTGCTACTATAACAAAGCACCTGAGACTGGGTAATTTGTAAAGCAGTTGGCTTCCTTCTGATCACACCAATCTCCTTATCAAACAGCTGTCACATCCTTTGTTTTCTCTCCTAAATACACTTTAAAAAAATCTTTACTTACCTAGGCTGAGAATTTTCCAAATCTTTGTGATCTACTTCCCTTTTAATTATGAATTGGGTCCAGGCATGGTGGTATATACTACTTGGGAGGCAAAGGCAGAAGGATAGTGAGTTTGAAACCAGCGTGGGAAAAGTTAGCAAGACTTTCTCAAAAACAACAAAAACAGACAAAAGGACTGAAAGCATGGTTCAAATGGTAGAGCACTTGCCTAGCATGCTGAAGGCCCTGGGTTCAATCACTAGTTCTGTGAAAATTAAAAAAAAATTATGAACAGTCTTTTCTTCAAATTTTTTGCTCTCCTTGCCTTTCACTATAAGGAATGAAGAGAAGTCGTGCAGCAGGCCTGAATGCTTTGCTGATTAAGACTTCGGCCAGATCTTCTAGTTCATGGTTCTCACGTTCTTCCTTCCAGAAAGTCTGAGCACACAAACACAATTTGGCCAAGTTCTTTGCTCCTTTATAACAAGGGTGGCCTTTTCTCCAACACCTCATTGCTCATTTCCATCTGAGATCTCATCAGATTGGCCTTCCCTGTCCCCACCACTTAAGTAATCTTTGAGAGAATGAGCTCTGTTCTCCTCCCACACCCTCAACCAATTACAGACTTTCCCACCACACACTTCAAAACTGCTCAGCCTCTCAGTTCCACACTGGAGGTGTTTGTTATACAGCACCCCACTCCTCTGGCACCAGTTTCTGTCTTTGTCCATTTGTGCTGCTAAAAGGAAACCCTGAGCGTGAGTATTTCATAAAGAACTGACAATTATTTCTCATAATCCTGGAGGCCGGCAAGTCCATGATCAAGGTGCTTGTAGGTTCTGTGTCTGGGAGCACCTTGTCTTTGCTTCCAAGATGGTGCCTTGAATGCTGCACCCTCTGGAGGTGGGGAGTGCTTTGTCCTTATGAGGAAAAAGGCTGAAGGGCAAAAGGAAATGAGCTGCCTCTGTGAAGCCCTTTGATAATGGCATGGCTCCAGTTTCACCAGCAGTGCCCTCGTGACCTAAACACCTCCCCAAAGGTCACACCTTTCAATGCTGTTGCCTTAGAGATGACTTTGGGGACACACATTCAGACCAAAGCAGGTAAGTTCTGCACCCCTTCAGATAGTTGCTTAATAAAACCACTGCCATGTTGTGTGGGTCAAGTACCTTCCACTTGTCTCACCAGTCCACACCATCCTTTTCCTGACTTTTCTGCCAGGGCCCAACCTGAATGGATGGTGTCATTGGGTTCCCTTGCCCTGTGGCTTCCAGTTGGGTTTAGCCAATGGGGGAAAGGGAGGGTCTCTGGAATAAGATGGGAGAGAAGGTGGGAGTTGAGGTCCTTATTCTTCCAGCTCCTTCCTGGGAGCTCACTTTGGGCTAGTTTTGGGCTGATGGGCCCCAGAGAGCTCTTTCCTTCCAGATTCCCCTGGGAGCACACAGAGGGTAGACTCCTACAGTTACCAGACTGGGGCACTGCATCTTCCTTGCAGGTTCCTCGTATCTTGCTTCTGCCTTCTGCACAGCAGCACAGACCATTGCTTTTGGTCTTGCTGAATGGTCAGGCCATTAGCCACACAGAATTGGACCATTGGGAGATCACCACGTGGTGTGAGGTGATGACCCTGTGGAAACAGATCCAGCATTGAACTATGAACTCCATCCTATGTGACCTGGAAACAGATCTAGCATTCAACAATGAACCCCATCCTGTGTGACCTGCAAGGCACAGGGAGACACTGCATATTGCACAGAGCGTGAGAATGGAAAGAAGCGAGTCACAATGTGGTGGGAATCACATCCCATTTGGTGCACGGGACCTGTACCTGGATCCATCACTGCAGCAAAATCCCATGGAGGTCTGAGGTAGCCCAGAGAGGCCAACTTCATCTGTGAAGATGCCACTGTCCTTGGAGTGTGGATTCCTTGTCAGCAGTGCTGGCCTGTGACTCAGGGCGAACTGGGCATAATGACCTTGGCTGTTCTCAGGTCCCAGTTGGCCATGGTCACAGTGGGTTCTGGCCACCATCGACATGATTTGGGCATCTGGATGTCGGCTTCCTTCCACCAAGAAGACAGCACCCAGGCTCTTAGGGTTTTGAGGACCATCTTTGGCAGGTGTTAGAATTTCCTGATATGGCAATCCGACAAGGGCTTCTGGGAGAGCTGTGTTCATCACCCACATGGAATTTGCTCGTCTCCCACTCTCACCATCTGCAGACAGCAGGTACAATGGAGCCTGGAGGTGGGGGCCCAAAAAGCGATTGTGTCAGCTGCTTATTCTCTGCAGCACCTAGGGGGAACAAGAGCCCACCTGATATGTGGGGACCCTTGAGTCTCTGAACCTAATCACCCTCCATTTCTTTGGGTCCCTCTGACCATTGGCCGGCAAGTTCACATTGCCCAAGTCGAGAACAATTGAGTGGATGCCACTTTGGACCCTTTTTTTAGGGGGCCATGTTGGGGGTTGAACTCAGGCCCTCATGCTTGGTTCAAGGTGCTCTACCACTTGAGCCACACTGCCAGCCCCCTTTGGGTCCTTTGTGATGGTCATTTGAGTCCTCTGAGCAGGCAACTTGTGGGACACTGCCAGGATTTCTCACCAGAAGTCCTGTTCCTTCCATTCATCTCCTCCACAAATGGAGGAGACTTGTCACTCCCTAAGCAGTAGGTCTCCTCTGCTCTCCTCTACCCTTCCTTAGTCTCCAGAGGTCACATCTCGAGAACGTTCTTGTGTTACTATGGAGGCCAATGTTCTGGACAAGCACAGATCATCTAACCACTCTGGGGAGTGACAAACTAGTTGACGTAGCAAGAACACACACAAGTGGTCCTGGGAAAGAGATAAATGGACCCATGCCTCAAG